AAAAAAGAAACACGTGAGATATGACATTAAATGAATATTCTTAAACTGTTTGGTACTTTATTGAAAAAATCTGGTAGTTTTGAGTGATTTGATGACGAGGGGACAAATACCATTAGCAGAAAAAATGCTTCGGTACATTGTTTTGACAAGTAACTATAAAACTAATGTTAAGATAAATATGAATGAATAAATTTTTCTCTTTTTCTCTATTCAACTAATTAACTAAAGTAAACTAACAATGAATAACTGCTAGTCAGATGTCTACAATTAAATATGTAGTATGAGTTTTAGAAAGATAAAATATATCTACTTTATTATTTATTCACTATTCAAAGAAGGTTTATAAAATTCTTATTGACGATAGAAACTTATGACTTTAGTAATTATTTTTTTTTGTCTAGACATTGAACGTTATGAATTGGTTGATTAGTGGGAAGTTTTAATTCCACTAAATTCTTGACAACGTCTACATTGTTGAAAGGTATGGATTCTAATCAAACTTTAGAAAGTTTATAACATAAATTTCATTTACTTATAAACAAGTATAAATCTGTTGATGATCACTAATTATTTAAAGAAAGAATCATGTTAACTATTATGTTTTCTTAGTTATTATTATCATTTACTAAGGTAAAAATACTTTATTACGAAGATGAAATCAATATACATTTTATAACTAGATCACACTATCAATGAGATGTAAGTCATATCGTTTTGTGATTAGAATGAAGACTTTTAAAGCATCAAATTAATTATTATTAAAAATTACAAGTTTAAATAGTATATGAGAGAGTATGTCACATCCCACTGCACTTATTTACTTCTGTGTATTAATAGATATACATATAGAGAGAGAAACAGTCGTGATCTACATATAAGGATGGATAAGCACATAAAAAATAGTCACAAAAATAGATGAATCCCAATCGTTAAATAAAAGCATATACTTAGCATACATCTTTCTCCACTGATAAACATTTGTCTGAAATAGGTCAAAGGGTTAGTTTCAAATACGCCGTCATGGTGTTGTATAAAAATGACCAAAGGTAAATACCATAGTTTATAGAAGCTTTAGTCATACAACGGTTCAAATATTATTCAAAACCCTTAGAAGCACCTTATTCTCATTATGAACCTACTTTGTTAATTTTGACTTTTTAGACAACATGGTGTGATTCATTGTTTTCCTTATTATCTTCACTTTTCTTATCTTCCAACTTATCTAGTTTAACCATTTCTCATGGAATTATCGAAATATACCAAAGGGCATCGTATTTTAAATCTTATAGAATTTAATTATTGTGGAAAATTGTTGTAACAGCGTTTAAACTAAGAATATCAAATAACAATGTGTAATAGTGATTGATGATTATAATATGCTTATCAGTAGGAAATAAAAAGCGATTGATGATAGGTAACATGTTTGATAGCGTAAACCAAGATGAGGGAAATTTCCTCTAAAAATCTAGAATCATTATAACAACGTAGTCCATGTTATTATGGAAACTTAGTTATGTCACAAATATTATCTCATGTAATTAATTACTAGCAAATAAGATAAAATTTAATTTTGACTAATATTGGAAAAAAAGATGAAATAAAAGGTTTATGGCGAAACTATAATTTATAGACGAATCAATCAGATATAAGATAACAGGTCTTGGATTTTGGCTCAAAATTCACCCATCCATTTGGCTAAATAGAGTCTTAGCATTATAGCTGATGTTAGGTCTTGACGAAAACCCTAAATGTAATTTGTAACCTTGACCATCAACTGTAAATCATATTTCTAATTCTTCACACAGGTTTCCAACACTCATTTGGTCCTAGTTATTAGGTGGACACTCTCAAGTTCAATCTAGCGTCCCTCAAAGGTCGTCCATAAATAATAGTCTCATCAACTTTATTTACCGTTAATATTTCAGAGTTAGCCAATGTCTTTTCTCATACAAATAGGTTATTTTTAAATTTCTAGATAATAATTAATTCAGCAAAGAAGAAAGAAAATCTGACCATTTCAGTTAATAACTACATTAAAAGTAGTAGATATATATCGGTACATCATAAAGTAATGTTATACTAATTAATGATCTTAGATTAAGCTAGTAAGTGGTAGAATCAAACCGGTTTCATTCAATTTCATTTAAAAACAATTAAGTAAAACCATTAACTATTACACAAACATTTCGACTTATAGCCCAGTACAAAATTTATACTTTGAAAATTAGAACAAATTCAATATACTACAGTGTACTTACTGTGAATAGTTGAAATAATGCACAAATTTACATTTAAGATACTAAAAACTCTAAAAGACTCAATAAGAAAAGAAAAATTCTCCGTTCAATTTTTTTCTTTACTAAATATATTTGCTATTTTTTCCCAAATAGATTCATTAGTAAGAGATTATAATATTTAAACTGATTTTTGCAGTTTTCTATTTTGCATAACAACATAGAGAAACTTATAAACTGTCTACAACAAAGAAAATACATCTAAGCCAAATCTGTAAACGTTATTAGACAACTTAACAGACAGAATATAATTGTTTTCTCTCTTTTTTTCTTCATTTTACTACATCCTCTAAGTAAATTATCGGTTGTTGTTGTTGCTTTTTCTTTCTCTACATTCTACAATGTTCAATGATTAATGTCAGATAGTTAGTCAATCAGAGAATTTACTTCATTTATTATTCAAACTGACATTAGATCTGATATGAATTCATTGAATCATGAAAAATTGGCTCAAGAATTATTTATCTTTGTTAAACTAAATTGTTTTCTTTTCTTTTTTTTTTAATACTAGATTCGATATACTGTCAAATGTATAAAATCATCATGAATAACGACGTATCAATAGATTTAAAAGTCTGATACTATTGAAGTAAATGTTTTATCAAATCGAGATCTGTTCATTCAATCATTATAATTTCTTAGTAATTGAATAAAACTCTATCGAGTCAAACAGTTGTGGTTCAATGATCAAAAGTATAGTAGTTGTTTATGAATAATTTGTTATTGTAAATGGTTGAAATGGTGGTTGTAATGTAGCGAACGAGAACTTAAGTGAGGACAATCGATTTATTATTCAATACAAAATTACAGAATACCTTCGTAACATACAAAAATGAGACAATTTATTTGCACGTCTACCGATTGTCTATGACAAACTTCATCGTACCTTCATTCCTGTTGTTATTACAATTACTCCATATTTACATTTCTATTCTCTTTAATTTGATCTTTTCAACTTTCTGCTTTCAGGTATTCCACTTCTGATCAGTGTTACATACTAGTTATGTCGACAAGCATAATTAGCATATACCACAATAATATTGTTGATGTTTTAATTATGGTTTCTTATTAAACTAAATATTTGTTAGTCCTTGAATAATAAATTACTGCGGTCACTTTAGTCATTTATAGACCACCTTTAGTTCAAATCAGTTATGAATTAATTAGTCATTTGAACTTCTTCTGTGGAGTGTGCTACTTATATTAACATTAGTAGTATATGATGTTAGTCGTGAACAGAAGGTATGGAAGCAGAGAGACAAGAGGATCGAACAGTAAAGAATCGAAACACAATGCAATTTGTATGAAAATGCAAAGAACAATGAAATCTGAGTCATTATGAGACAATTGATGGACATTTTGCAAATTAAGCATTTACTTTATGATTGTTAGATTTTATTAACAAGTCCTATAATTTTGTGTTGAATACATTCGATTGTCTCCACTGGTGTTCTCTTCACTACACTACAAGCTTAATTCTGTGATAACTAACTTGTAATTGATTTGACCACTTATTTTTAATCTGACAACACACTTGAAATCAATTATTCATTGATTTGATTTTTTCCTCGCTTTATTCACCGTTTTAACTTGATTAATTATTATTCCGAAATTATCTCTTTTTATTGATCAATTTTTACACAATTCTTTAGTTTAAGTTGAATTACTTTTTGGAATAAAACAGAAAAAACCAACGCCATATGTTTATGTACATTATGGACATTGAATAATGTTAAGAAATAAACTGATTTATGTATTAAAAAATTTCACAGATGGATTTACATTAAATAATTTCTTTTTTATTGAGATTATGAACCGATTGATGTTAGACCACCATTAAAAACCTGGGAGCACTGGACGGCCGTTTCATCCTATTGCGGGTAGAGACAGGTATCTACGTCAGTATAATGGAAGGTGGTCGCGCAATTTCGTGGATTGGTTGAGGTTAGACATTAAAACCATCGAGTGCCGGCTCAGTGGTTCAGTAGGTTAAGCGTTTGCGCGCGAGCCTGAAGGGCCTGATTTTGAATCCGGTAAGCGGGTTCGTGGCTGCGCACTGCCGAGGGGTCCCACAATAGGACGAAACGGCCGTCCATTGCAATCCAGGTTTTCGATGATGATCTAACATCAATCGGTTCAAGATCTCAATCAAAAACTTAATAATCTTTACAACCGCTATACTGATAAATGATAATAATAATTATTACATATACTAATATTCAATGAATTCAATATGTAGTTACTTATTTCGGTTCTAATCCATAAGAATAAATTTTTCAAGTTGGTATACTGATTTATGAATGTGTTTCATCTTCACAATGATCAGTGTAGCTAAAAACAGAGTTGTAAAACTTATTGATTTGAAGTAGAATAACTGGAATATGTTGACTAGTTTACTTGGTATCACGTTGATCTATCTTCATTATCATGAGTAGTTTTATAATAATAATAATATTTCTAATATAACTGAATAGAAAAAATTATTTAACATCTAATCAATTGGTCATTGTCTTTCGATTTATGATCTATGAATAATATATATTCCAAGCAATAAGTAATTTCGTGATGCAACACCTTCATAAGGTTGGTTGAATATTCAGATTGACTAGACACTATTGTAGAATCCAAACTACGGTTTGGATAGATGAATAGCCGTCCAGGTACGTCAGACACGCGCCCTTGCCCGTCAAAATCAAAACAAGTAATCGGGTAAATAGCGGTTCTATAATTCATCATAAGTTTAAATGTAAATCGTTACCTAAACAAATATTACCACCCGGCTACTCAACCAATAATTGTTCAATCAATCAAATCTAAACTACATAAAATAAAGTTGATAAAAGATGTGGGAAAATTACCAGTCACAACAAATAAACTCTATTCTATCCTGACTGGATAGATCACACACAAAAGGAGGAGCAAATCAATATGGCTGCCGCCAAGAACAAGTGTCAAGTAAAACAACATGGATACAGTTCGGGAGGAAGCACAAAAACTTATTGAAGGTGTAATAAAAAATAAAAACTATGATAAAATACAAATATTAACAATCCAAACGTAATCAAAAAACTAACAATGTACAAATAAAGGAATCAATAGGAACAAAGTGCAAGTATATACATTGAGGGATTTTCACAAACACACGAGGCATTCAAAATAGATCTTACACCGGCCCCCAAAATCCCTCCATATCACACAAGCTACCTTGATGCCTATGGTCATGGTTCATTATGTAGCATATGACACTAGAGGAACGAGTAGGACTTACAGCAGTACGCCTATTCGACCTACTTACATTGACATGGGAGAAATTAATTCGACCCTTCAAGGAGACATAATCTACTATATCTCTTCTGACTAATCCGCCGTTCGTACGAACAACTACCGTTCTAACTCTTCCGTCGTCATCTATTTCACAATCTTCAACTACTCCTAAGGGCCACTTTCCACGGGTCGATATGTCAGAAGCCACAATTACTACATCTCCTTTCTGAAAATTACGGTGTTCAACTAACCATTTCTGACGTTTTTGTAGGGACGGCAAATACTCTCTCAACCATCTTTTCCAAAACACATTAGCAAGATGATTAACCTGTTTCCAACGTTTGTCGTATTTATCTCTGATGCTGCCTTCTTCGACTATTCCATCACATTCTCTCAATAATAACAGACTATTCGGCGACAAGGCTAGTTTATCGTTAGCATCTTGGACGACCGCAGTTAAGGGACGATCGTTCAATATCCTTTCAATTTCAATCAAATAAGTGCCTAAGGCCTCATCGGTTAAAGTCTGCTCTCTAGTTATCAACAATAACAGTCGGCGTACAGACCTAATCATTCTTTCCCAGACTCCACCCCTGTGGCTGGATGAGGGCGGGTTAAAATGCCATTGAATCTGCCTAGCTGACAGTTCTTTGTCTATTTTCTGTTGATTCAACTGTTGCACAAATCTTCTTAATTCAGAGACCGCACCCACGAAATTTGACCCATTGTCACTGTAAATTTCGGCAGGCTTCCCTCTTCTTCCAATAAAACGTAACAGTGCCATTATAAACGAATCAGTATTCAAACTATATGCCATTTCAATATGTACTGCTCGGGTTTGCAAGCAGATAAATACACATCCATATCTTTTTTCTAGTGATCTACCTCTTTTGACAATTAAGGGTCCAAAGTAGTCTACTCCCACGGCTGAGAAGTTATACCATTCTGGTTGAACTCTACAAGCTGGAAGCGGCGCCATCAACTGTTGCCCTGTATTCATCGTAAACCGCCGGCATGTCACGCACTTTCCTATCACTCTCTTAACCGTGCTGGTTGCCTTCATTATCCAATACCATTTTCGAATTATAGCCAATACTTGGGACGTTCCTGTGTGCCCTTGTTCTAGTTGTTTTTGTAAGCCTTCTAAAGATATTCCATTGATGACATCTACTGGATCGACTGAATTACCCAAAGATTTACTCATTTTTTTGCCATGAGCATCACAAACCATAGCATGTAAATAGACCGTATGAAATGGTAATTGTCCCATTAATTTCAAACCAATCATAACCATACGTGCAGCCGAGAAAAATATAATATCATGCCCAGTTTCTAATAAACTACCAGGATAATAAGCCTTTAAATCTGGTATTTGTTCAGGCCAACCAAATCCAGATAATAGAAATAATTGTGAAGAGAACCACGTATCTAATACATCATTATCTTGGTTTAAAGTTAAGTTATCTGGTGAACAATGGAAATTATCACAGGCCTTTTGAAGTGCTTCTTCAATTGTATGACCAACTACCCATGAATTATGATCTGTAGGATCTAAAACTTCTAAATTATCTACGCCAGGACGTCGAATCGAAACATGATAAGCAGGAATATGATGTCCCCACCATAATTGTCGAGAAATACACCAATCCTGACAATCTTTAAGCCAATTATTCCATGTACGAATATGGAAACTATGAATAATACGTGAGCGGCCTTCAGATACCTCCTTCATTGCCGCATTAGCCATGTCCTTACAACGTAGGTACCATCGAGGTTTCAACAATGGTTCAACAATATCTTTGCTTCGAGAACACATCGGTACAACCACAGGATTATCTTTCTCACCTCTATACAAGCCTAATTCCACGAGGGCTTTCTGAACGGCATCTCGAGCAACGAATCTTTGAAGTCCTGCAAATCTGGGACCTGTTTGACGCATAAATTTTACCCAATTTAGCCACGCGAACTTGTATGGCTCGTTGAGAGGCTGATCCCAGCCTATTTGGGACTTACATAGTTTTTGCAAGAGGACCTTGGCAGGAAGACAAACTGGAGCAATTAAACCCAAAGGATCGAACAGAGAAGAAACTATAAATAGAATCCCTCTCCTAGTCAGAGGCCTTTCAATACCATTTGTATACTTGATATACAGAATGTCATCTTTCAACAATCTACGCTTCAAACTCTGTAGTCTACTGTTTGCCACTTCATAATTCCCCCCTCCCATATTTGGGTGCACTTTCCATGGTATAGGGACTCCAAAATGACCATTTACGAAGCGTGTGCCACCTTCCACAATCCTTATAGCCGTCTTGTCGTCTACTGATAATGATTTATCATTTGAATAAGCGTCGGAAAACTCTGAGTCATAAAACTTACGTATCTCGTTCTCTAATGTCTGTATCTTACTGGTATGATTAACAATTCTTTTCCTATATTCCGGATACGATGCAGGTCCAAAGACCGTCCACCCCAGCAACGTCTTCACAGCGTACGGGTTTTTTCTTCCACCCAACCGCTGATCTAACACCCAGTGTGCTTCTGGTATGTCGCAACCAATCAACAGTAAAACTTCTTCAGAGTCTAGGCTATCTATTGGTACATCACTTAAATGCGGCCACTTAACTAGGTTGTTCATTGCTGACTTTGTTGGCTTATGACCTGGTATACGTGCTACAATCAGAGCTCCTTCAATCGTAACATGTTCAGATCGATCTAAAGAATATACCTCGAAAGGAGTTCTTGTGGCCGTCATCGTCCTATTACCACTCACAGTCCCTACTACCACTGACGCTCGGTCTTCCTTCAGTCCGAGATGCCTCAAACAGCTCGATTTTAACAATGTCACATCAGACCCGTTATCCAACAAGGCATAACCCACCATTTCGGCATTTCCCGCCACCAACCGTACGGGAATCATTCCTAAGCACACTTGGCTACTTAAAGATTTAGTAAATCCACAGCAATTCTGGGTTTCAGACTTATTTACATCGTTGCTTGCCGTGTTAGTGTGCAGCAGAGCGTGATGTTTCTTTTCACAACTGTCAACGTTACAGAGCCTTGACATCTTGCATTCATTGACTTTATGTCCTTGTCGAAGACAGACAAAACAGATACCCTTGCTTTTAGCATGGGACCATCGTTCTTGAACTGTAAGCGCTAAAAACTGTGGACACTTATAAATAGCATGGTCGTAGGAACACATACTGCATTTAGTTTTCGCTGTCAAACTATTCCCCTGCTCTGATTGCACGTGACAGTTCGTCTTTACGTTTGGTCCTTTTCTTGAACGATTCGCTAACCGTCCAAATCTACTACAAGCTACTCTCGCACGCGAAGCGATAAACTGAGTGAGTTCGTGAAACGTCGGCTCTCTGTCATCTTCTGTCAATTTATCCACCCAGTCCGCCCATTGGGCTTGCATAGGTTGGGGTAAGAGTCTCACTATTCTTTCCAAAGTAACTAAAGAATTTAGATCAGAGGTATAATTCATCTGTTCCAAGACCATAGCACAGTTTTCCATTTTAATAGCCAAGTTCGATAATTCCTCCGCGTCAGTATAGTCAACATCTACAGCATTGAATAAGTCTTCTAATGTTTCCCGAGCGATTACATGAGACTGTCCGAACAAACGTTTTAAGATTTCCCTTGCTCTCTTATAACCCGAAGATGCTTCCATCATGACACAACCCTCAATAGCTGCTTTCGCCTTGCCCTTACAGTAGTGAATTAAATAGAGTAAACGTTGGCTATCATCAGTGACTCTTGATGCTACATAGGTCTCGAATTGCCTTATAAACTTCCAATACCCTCTTGCCTGACCATCGAAATAACTCAATTCAACCTTTGGTAGTTCTAGACCAACAACAGGCGTTATGGGCAAAACGCTCTTTCCTGTTAATTCATGCCCTTGCTTCTCCTTTAAACTAAGATTTTTCACGTCATCTGTCATCGAATTAAGACTAGAGTCACTTCCATGATAATCAACCCTATTCGAGTCTGAACCATGACACTTAAGGACATCAAAAGGTACTTGCTTGATAATAAGGGATTCTTCATTAACATCAACGAACTTTGAGTTTGATTTCCTTCGACGATTAGTTGGCATCATAAGCGAAATGACCAGATATTTCCAGAAACGATAATCGGAATCCGCGAACGATTGCCAAACGACTTCGACCAATTAATATTTGTTTAGAACTGTAGAATCCAAACTACGGTTTGGATAGATGAATAGCCGTCCAGGTACGTCAGACACGCGCCCTTGCCCGTCAAAATCAAAACAAGTAATCGGGTAAATAGCGGTTCTATAATTCATCATAAATTTAAATGTAAATCGTTACCTAAACAAATATTACCACCCGGCTACTCAACCAATAATTGTTCAATCAATCAAATCTAAACTACATCAAATAAAGTTGATAAAAGATGTGGGAAAATTACCAGTCACAACAAATAAACTCTATTCTATCCTGACTGGATAGATCACACACAAAAGGAGGAGCAAATCAATATGGCGGCCGCCAAGAACAAGTGTCAAGTAAAACAACATGGGTACAGTTCGGGAGGAAGCACAAAAACTTAGTGAAGGTGTAATAAAAATAAAAACTATGATAAAATACAAATATTAACAATCCAAACGTAATCAAAAAACTAACAATGTACAAATAAAGGAATCAATAGGAACAAAGTGCAAGTATATACATTGAGGGATTTTCACAAACACACGAGGCATTCAAAATAGATCTTACAACTATTACTTTCATTTGTGTTCACTCCCATTTGTAGATTATAATACTTAAGAATACTTAAACGTGTCGAATGGTTTCGATAGAGCAATATATTTATTTCCACAATCGGTATATTCTTTGAGAAATAGTACTATTTCTATAATATACTTTATTTTTTATAAATAAGCATTTTTATTAAGATTAAGTATAGCACCTAATCATTGTTAAACTAACTATTGAGCATTTTGCACTAGTTACGATTATAAAGAATAGAGATAGACAAATAAATAGAATAGAAGACTGTCAATTATTCTGTTTGACTCTCACTAACTTTCATATATATAAGCATATATGTAACTAGATAGTTCAAAGTGAATAGTACAAAAACATATTACATTGTTCAGAATATTTCTGTCTTTTCACAGGTTTATCGAAATTTATCAAAATAGGATTAGTTCACTTGGCATTATTTGCTTGAATCTTACCAGTGATTTTCGAGCCCAGAGTGAACATCAACTTTGAGATGCAGGAACATCCAGCTGATGAGTCCCGAATAGGACTAAACGCGAGTACTGGATTCCACTGCTAGCCACTATCCATCCTCAGAATTAGTTGGTTTATATTTTTTTCTTTGTTTTATTGCTTACTTTAATGAAGTATCCATTTTGAACAGATAAAAACAGTAGAAAACAACTGTAACTAAGAGTGGCGATCGCGAATTCACAAGACCAACCATGCAAATCGAGAGATTTTCGCTAATTACATTAGCTCATGTGGTTTTCGTGAAAACCAATAATTCACTAAAGTTAGGATAGTTTTACCTTAAAAGTTTTATGAGTTTTCAAATCCCACTAATATGACATTTTGTTATATTATCCACTGAAGTTGTTTTAGCTACAGGCCAAATACGTTTATTATAGACCAACTGATTTCGTCTGTTGTCAGTCATTTATAACTAAATTAAAAACTGGGACAAATATATAATGACTTATGTGACCCAACATCCTATTGGAGCAGAGTGAAACGGCCAACAAGATGATAAACAACGCGACCGAAAAAAACCCAATCATCCGCCGAAAAAATCCAATATAAATAAATCAATTGGATATAATTCGAAATTAACGTATGAAATTGATGAATGAAAAGTATGAGAGAAGATTAAAACGTAAAATACATACGAATAAAAAAGATGAGTACATTCGCACTTTTATGACCGATCAAAAGCTGTTATTCATAAAATCATTAACTAATAGTTATGATTATTTTTGTTAACTCTAAACGGAAATCATCCATCCAACAATTAATGACTTTATGATTTGACACGATGGTTTTCATTTAATCGTCTGTAAAATTTATCCAATCTATTCATACGCTAGTCCTCATAGAGCATCGGGTTAAGTGAAAGCTAGGAATGAATCAATCATGTGCCAAACAAATCACCAGGTGTTAATTCATACTCTCATTAACTTAATTACTACTTCTAAGTAGTCACTTACATTTTGTAAATACTTAACCAGTGTTCTGTCGTACACATCTAGAATGCTTCAAAATAATTACTCATCCATTTCGAAAGTCATGATATTTTCTATTGTTAGATTAAGCTGGAGTGTATACGGTTACACCACTAATTTCAACATCAGTATTAACCACATTTTGGTAGAACGTTCCATTTTAATCATCACTACATTTTGCATTATCATCTGATCAATATTCATCAAATTATATTGAAAGTTAATTTTTAAAATAGTCAACATAGTTTTAACTTATAAACATAATAATTAAATTTATTTAGATTTTCATTTATTTTGTTAACTTATTACCTAATTTTTAGCATTAATCATAGTTCTGTAACTTAGAGTATACTTTGTTTTTCTTCATTCAGTTTTATTTAATTACTTTTTGCTTATCAGGATAGAGAGCTTTGTTTTTTTCTAGAAATCATGGAAAATCATAATTTAAATCACAAATTGATTCAAGTTAAATAATAAATCACTGAAAACCAGGAAGCGTTGAATTCATTATGAGAACTGAAAATTCAAGGTTTGATAACTGATTGATTTATGGATAAACATTGTCCAAGAATTTCTAACTAGAACGAAGCAACTGTACTCTTCTTCATAGTACTTAGTAGTTTGTTTGTGGTATCAAATTCTCTTCTTATTGAGAACAATTCGAATGAATACGTTTGTCAAATAACTGTACTTTGTTATTTACGTATACATATATGTATAAATAAACTTCTTAAAATTCTTACTGTTTACTGTCAATTATTTGATATTCATTAATGGTTTTCACTTGTATTATCCTTTTTACAATATAAAATATATTCACTCATTTTCATCCATAAAATAAGTCAAAAACAAAACAAATGTGTTGATAATCCATGAAAATGTCAGAGGTTTCTTTTTTCATATGAATAACATTAATTATGATAGGAAGAAAGGAATAGATCTTCTTCATAGAAAAAATATATAACTTATAACATAAGTGATCTTTAAAAAGAAAAACAAAATCCTTAAATTTGACAAGAAATTCAATTCAATTCAATTAGCTTGATGCTGTTTCTTCTCTTTTTTTTCTCCTTAAAATGTAACTCGTTGTAATTGTAGAATAAATCAAATGAAGAAAATGACATTCTACTAATTGACTTACATATAATATAATATACAAAATTACAATAAACATAAGATTACAACTTTAAATGAATGGTACATATCATATTTGATATATAGAATTTATCTATTATTAGCATTGTATATTCAGTTTTCTACACTTCTTAAATGATCACTTGTTTTTTGAGAAATCAAAAATGGAAAGAAAAACATTGTGTTCTTTTTTTTATTAGAAATATTGTTATTTTTTTATAGTAAAATCCAAGAAATGATCACACACTCAAATTACTTATTTTTTTAAATTTATCTCAAACTAAAGTCGTTTTCATTTCTTAAACACTTGAAAACCTACGGTGAACATTGGTAGATAGATTTTCACTTCATATTTTTAGCCAATTTCAACAGAGAAAAATTAAACTTCATATATTGAAAACATTCACACTAAATAGTACAGTTCTATTTTTAAAAAAATTTCCAAGATTTTTCCAATAATCATAACTTAACAGTAAAAATCTTTATAGATTTCCGGTTGCGATAAATTTGATGTTCACAATTTAAATCTTGCTAATTTGCCTACTTACAAGTAGTTAAATAAACCTCAAAAACTTTTTGTGAAACAAAAAGAGGAAATGTATGACTGAAAATTTTAAAAACTCATTAAACTGATGAAAGATTATTGAAACCAAAATAAAATTTTGATAAATAAGATGTATAATGATATTCTGCATAAAGTTAATTGTACTTTTCAAATTGAATATAAGTAATAAATTCTATCTGTCCATGATTACAAGGATACAATTCATAAATAATAGTTAGATGAATAATTAAATGGTCAATAAAAGTTTATTGTAAATATGTAAAATGATATATATGTCAATTTCATATTGCTTTAGTTGTTTCCTAGGTCACCAAAATGATTTTTTGGGTCATATGCTGAAAAATAAGAGTGGAAGGAAGTTGAAATTAATACAAGAAATTGTTAAGAAAATAAGTGAAAATTTACGTTACTATGTTGTAATTGATTATGAAAAGTTTTCCAAAGTAAATATTATACTCAGATGAATAAAATAATCATGAGACACCTTTTTGGAATAAACTTATATAAAACTAGGTACTTTCACTTATTCTAAAGTAGCTGTTCATTTTAAATGAGATTTATAAGATCGAATTAACCGACCATTTGATCAATAGATTAATGTAGCTTTAATATATATGAATTAAAAGAAGTGAAACTTATCAGGAAAGATGTGTACGGGGATTGATATTACTCAGTACAAAATATTAATTTAAAAAAGAGACTTTCATTTTGTCCTAATTATGAACACAGATTTCACTATGATTCAAACTACTTTACGTTATTAAGATATAGTCAACGTAGGATTTCATATAATTTGGCATCAAGGTAAAATTATATTCGAGACGAAATTAACGGGATGAGTAGCAGGAAAATCGAATGAATGGTAGAAAGAATGATACTAACAAAGACTAAATATAGTAAATGTGATTGAAAAGTAGGGAGAGAAATAGAAGGATAGCATTATGAAGTTATAAATAAAAATAATATATTTGTAATATCCCAATGAGTAGAAAATTAGATTTTCCGACGTTTCGTGACTTAGTGTAAGTCACTTCTTCGGAGAATAAATAACCAAATTAAAATTAATCCAAGTAACTTGGATTATATTACTTTTATTTATAACAATCAACCCAATGCTCAATTTATTTGAAATTATCAAATCAAACCTTGGTAATGATATCTATTATGAAGTTATGTTAAATGCACCAAATCGGTCGACAGTGATTTTCAGTCAAAGTGGCTAAATTATCCAACCATTGAACACGACCCAATCAAGTAATTTGTATCCGACAACTAAACACAAACAAATAATCTGGTCACTCCCAACATATTTCCGATCTACTTACACTCCAAACACGGTTGCGCATCGACGAACACTGACTGACCATGTAAAACATATTTATTCTAGTCATATCAGCCCATGAAGATTCATATCACAAACATTACTGACTAAAGCAGTTAGCTGTGTTAATTATGTCTTCTTTCATTAGGGCTAGCCAAAGAGCGTGTATATGCAGCACTCAAACCTAGGACCTTTAGTCTCCAGTGAACACTAGACCTCCAGACGACTGAGCTGATATTTCACTTTGCCGTTGTCTAACTTCAACCAATCCACGATCTTGCGAGGCCGGTTTCTATTGTCTTCAGCGGGTAACTGTCTCACACCCGACACGACTGAACTCCACTGGTGACGGCTTCTCACTAGAACTCCGAGAAAAACCTCTCACATAAACTTTATAA